AAATATTAAAATTATTATTTGTTATTCGAATATGATAATGGTGAAACTATAAATAATAATAATAACAATAATGATAATGGTTTAATTTCCCCATGGAATATGATATTGCACGTTAATTGAAAAATCAAAAACAATTGAGAAAAAAAATGTGTATAATTTTACTTAAATTAACTTCCAATATTTGCGTCCGGACATCTTTAAGAAGATAGAAAAGCGACTATCGCTTTGATAACTTCCAATAGTGACGAAGAAGTGACATAGGCGATAAAATTCTCTTTCATTTGCTGGCCGACGCCAGCACATAAAAACAAAAACGTGGAAAATTCTTGAAATCGGACTTACAGAATTACGACCACTTATCATATAACGATAAATTTCAGAAATGCTTAAAACTTCGAGATTTCGAAATTTAAGGACGCTAATTTCCTCAAAATTGATACTCACAACAATTCCTTAAAACTAATATCATTATTATGGAATTTTATAAAATGGGCGTGGTACCGCTACTTATAAGTTATAACTATATAATTTTCGGCTTCGTCCGAACTTAGACTTTTTCCTTTCCTTTGTTTATTATTGGAAAAAACGGATGCAAGTTGATGAGGCGTGAACACAAATACTTTTCAATGAGCTTTGATATCGGAAAAAAGATTAACATACATAAATACAAGGCAACTAGCGTGAAGCTAAAATCATGACACAATCAAGCACTCCTGAAAGCTAGGGGATATGCTTGAATGTCGCCAGAAAGCCATCTAAGTACAGGTCTAGGCATAGATACTCCCAATAAGTGAATACCGCATAATGCTGAGCAAGCATTTCCTGGTAGACTGCCTATCTCTACTAACACTTCATTTCTTTTAGTTACTTGATCTTGACGATTAAATGATAAACTAGTCTCGTCTGGGTTAGGTAGCCGTTATAATAACAATACCGAGTTTGCACTATACATACATTTTTAGTATAGTGTATACATACATACATTGTTGGCCAGAACAATAGTCGTAATTCTACGATTTGATAAGTTTATTTTTTGTTTTGTTTAATAAAGTAATCATAGTTACGTCACATTCGGCGGTTACTTTAATGATTTAGGTTTTTTTTGAAGTGTGACAGTTTTTGGTAAAAAAAAAAAAATGTATTTGTTTCTATTATTTTTCTCAACACTGTGTGTATAACCTATTAGGCATGTCATACAAGGTGAATGACTACTGAGCCATGAGAAATGCGTGAAGGCTGCTAGGCACCCATACCGGCAAATGCTGAGATTACTTATAATTTAAGAATGTTTCAGGTACTTAGTAGGCAAAAGTAAAGCTTCGTTTATACGATTTTTGAACTACTCTGTAAGGTAAGTTACGGGGAATTTAAACCTGCCATAAAGGCAGATATTTTATGAGAAAAAGTAAACATATATTGCATTTATCGAAGTCAACCCTAACAATAACAATAACAATAGTAACAATATTTATGCATGTATGTGGTTTATGTCGATTTAAGTTTTTGAAAAATTTTGTAAAAAAATATGATTTCTTTTAACGTGCACGTGCATATTCGACCATGCAAATATATACCAATGTATGTAGCTGGGAAGCTGGCTTTAGTATAATGCGGCATTCCCTTTATTATTTAAACGACAAGGAATTTTTTGATGAGACTTAATAAGAATATTGGCTTATTAGTATCGGAACTATTTCTTGCACGTTTATTTGCCAAAAGTTCTTCCACGGCTCGGCGCCAGGGAGTCATTCGCAATTCGTATGCCGCGAATGCCACATTATACTAAAGCCAGCCTTTCGACATAAGCTCCTGTTCCATACGAACAAAGATATATGTACATAGGTATGCACTATTCAAGTGCTTTTGATAAGCAAATAGAAACATAACTAAAATGGAAGAAGTTCACATCATCGGGACGACGTATGTATTGATATAAATTGAAATACTAATGAAAAAATAAATGAAGAAAACAAAAAGCTATACAGGAGCTCAGT